GCGAGTCTACTGCGAGGATCGTGCATCATACGTATCTATAACCGCAGTTCAAAATATATGAACTTCATATATTCATCATAACTGGAAATCATGTTTCCGAAGACCTAATATTCAAAATCTTGGACCCCTCAGAAGGGGAACAATTCGATCTCCAAACCCCCCTTGACTAAATCCTGGATCCGCCCTGGTTACATTGTTACCTCCACCGACGCAGCACCAGAGTTTCTTTAGAAACTTATACCCCATGCAAATAGAGGTTGGTTGGTGTTTGTCTGACTCTGAAAATGGGTTGGAATACACCAGACGCGTTATTCCAAGCACCAAACTAATGTGATCCAAAAACAAAATCATTGTTTATTAAGCACTGCACTCTCACGTCATGTCTATTTAACATATTTGTTCAGCTAGAAGCCGAGGGGTTTGTACATAAATTATTGGGCGCACTTAATTTGGAGCCTCGCTCTGTTGTGCGACCCTCGCCATACTCTGGTGAAAGTGATTAAATAAATAAAGCTAGAGTTAAGCGAAATTTGAGCGAAAGAGAGGGGTTTAGCTTATAGTCAAGAGTTTTCGAAAAAAAAAAGAAGATTTAGTGCATTTGAACAACACCAAATGGACATGTTTTCATTTAGAAGCCAAGCTAAGTCGAGAGCGCGAATGGATAGAAGTCCAAACCGCTTTGGGATCTCATCCTTGTTAAAATCCTCGACAATTGCAAAGAGTAGCCCTGTCGCTGTCTTGTCTTGTTGATATATAGGAACAAGCGATTAAAACTATACCATGCTCTGGGTAGATTTCGCAAACCGGAACAACTAATGGTACCTTTCGTTACACAAAACTACTGTATCACGTTTTTAAGTATTCACTCAATCTTGGTGACATTTTGATTGGTTAAGGTGTCCTCTTCATGGAAATTAAAGGCGGGCTTTCGGACCCAGAAAATGTTTCCTTTTCCCTTGAATAAAGGTGGCAAAAGTTTGTGAATTACGTTGAATGAAGGTGTAACTATAACTGGACTGTACAACCGCTTGGCCGTGGAAGGTCTGCGTACAAGATTAGGTTTCTCCTAGACAGAAGTGTCGTTTCGATAGACTAACAAATACAAACGTTTTATTGACATTTCTCCGGGATCAAACTTGTTTTCCCTGAATGAAGGTGTTCCCAAATCAATGGTGTTCTTTCCACGGCAGAATGGTAAATGAAAATGCAAATGTTTCTGAAGAATGAAAACCAACTCTCTTGAGCCCTTTAAAAATATCTGTATATTTAGCGTTCACCCAATTTTGCTTGAGGAGAGTGGAACGTTCCTTTATTCAACACAGAGGTATCCATCTACTAACTTTACATAAATTGAACATTTTTCTAAAACAGAACTTGTGCCCCCCACCCCTCCCTTTCCCCTCTCGGATAGGCGTCTCAAAGAAGAAGTCCCAAAGGTATTGCAGTTTGACTAACNATCGTCGTTCATTTACAAATCCTACATGTTGAACTAAGCGTATCTTTTACACAATGAGCGACACTCGGGAAGGGGGGAGGGAAAGCAAACCAGTCAAACGTCAGCGCATGTGCGAACGCTGTCATAGCAAGGCGCAACTCTTGGCGCATGTTTTCGGGCTGCTATAACCAGGTTGCCCCTAAAGAGCTAACCAAAAACACTCTCCAGTAAGTCGAGGTGTTTTACATGTGTATAACCTTTCTTTTTAAATGTTGAAAACAAACAAAATGGCACATGAACAGAGGCAGTTTATCTGTCGTTCTCATCAAAAACTTAAGAAAGTAACACATTTTGGTAAGTACTTGGTGTGATCCTTAATGTATGTTAATGTGTGCAAATGACCCTGTATTCCCACATGTTCTTATGTATTGAGGCATGTATGAAGGATTTCACCTAGTACCTACGCACATTTTAAACCGTGCTGCTGGCCAATTGAACGTACGCGCTCATGAAACTCCAGATAAGTAATCAGTGATTTGAGGCTAGTGTTTAAAATATCTTATAAACATACAAATTGACGATCGTTTAATTCCAGAAATTTACTGCAGTAAATCTTGAAAAAATAGTTAACTTTCTATTAAATGGAATATCAAAACACCATTTCCATACCTTGAAGAAATCCATGAAGGTGAACCCAAGCGCAAAATAAACTTAATATAATAAATCACAAGGCCATCATCATTATCATTTTGTCAGGCCCTTTCCATTCGCATTCTTATTAAACTTGAAAACGAACTCTCCTTTCTCCTAAATAGGAAAAAAAAGAATTCTGCTGTTGCACATTTGAACTCTTTCCTCTCATCCACAACAAATTGCATACGACAGGGTAATGGGCTCCTGCGTACGAGGAGTCGTCATATATGACGTACCTACTACACAACGTCATCCGTCCAAAGTGAGAGATGGGGGGAAGAGATCTCTTCTTCAAAGGGGGGGCGCGTTTGAGTTAAGTAGGTACACCATAAAAATCATCCCATGGAGACTGTTGATAGATCGGTAGCCCCTATTATATTGGTGATTGTTTTTACCGGATAAAAGATCGGAAGGCCAAATTGCAGACGATGGGCAACCCGAATTGATGAAGTCTCCTTTACAGCCGTTATTTGGTCTCGTCACGCAAAGTATACCCTTCCCCACCAACAGGTTCTCGGCCGGAAATTATAATGCCCGATAAAATACATATATCATATTAAACTTTTTTTTCGTGTAGTACCGCTGAGTATTTTTACAAGTTGTGCCGTATTTTCATGCTTAACAACCCCCCGCGTGCATCCATCACTCGATGGGTGCACGCTGCACGGTGTACGCTGCACGCTGCACGCTGCACGCTGCATGCTGCACGCTGCACGCTGCACGCGTGTGGTGTAATCTATCGGCAACATACTTCTCCTGAACAATTTCAAACGTATTTCGATATCACAATAGAAAGACTAAGCTCTACTAATAAACCGATGTATGTCATGGGTGACTTCAACATTGATCTCCTCAAATCTGAAACCTGTGATTTTTCTCATAACTTTCTGCTGTCCCTGCAAAGTTACTCCTTTTTTCCAGTAATTGATAAGCCTACAAGAGTCCATAATAATTCTGCCAAACTTATTGACAATATTCTTGTTAACAGAATTGGCTTTAAACTCTCCAGCGGCAACATTGTCTC